TTACTGGTCTTCACTCATATTTCTATCCCTGTGATTTACCTATTCTGGATGTTTTCACTTCAGTGCAATCAGATTTCTTATTGGCCATATAATACTGGAGGGGAATGGTTCATTTTAGTTTTGGTTAGGAGAAAAAGACAGTCCACAGTTTATAGGTAAAAATATATGCCCTGTTTTGTTCCATATTTTCATCCTGTTGGTGTTGGAACTGCTATTCCATGACTCCTATGACTAAAGTCACAAGGAATTAGCAGAACCTTCCTGCAAGCAAAAGAAAAACAAGTAAAAGTTACACAGACAAACCACAACCAGAAAAGTGTTCCTTAGAATCTATACTATCTTGGAGGGTCCATATTCCAAGGGTACAATGAATATGCAGAAATCCATTTGTTTGGTGGGACAAGACACACTTCTGTAATGCAAAAGGGAATCACCACCTACGGCCAGCAAAGGTCCAAGATGATCAATCTGCAGTGACACTCAAAGGCACATATTACTGGAATGCCACCTGTCCTTTTTTTTTTTTTTTGGTACCGGGGATCGAACTCAGGTCCTTGTGCTTCCGCAGCAGGTGGTGAAACCACTGAGCTAAGTCCCCGGCCCCCACCTGTCCTTTTGAGATTAGTTTAAGTCTGAGGTGAGAACATGGAAGGTGGAAGCCCCGGCAGGTCCTCTGGAAGATATGGTCATGGATACTCTTCTCTCAGAGACCTCTGGGATGGGCTGATCTGACTTCTAAACATGTGTCCCTTTACCTTACAGAGCTAAGGTTAGGGATTCATCTCAAGCACATTAATTCATGTAATTCAAGCACATTAAAACAAAATCATGATCACAATAGTTGCAAAAAAATGTATCTAATGAAATTCACCACCTGCCCATAACAAAGTTCAGAACGCTAAGATCTTAGGGAACTTCCAAAACATGGTCAACCTCATCTAATATTTGTCTGACATTACACCTATGGTAAAATGTTTAGCTTTCCTTTTGATTCTGAGAAAAAGGCAAAGATATCTATCTCTGCTTCTGGAGGTCCTAGCAATGCAAGGAAGAAAAGATACTATAAAGATTACAAAGGAAGAAGTGGATTTTACTTCATCAAAGATAACATACTGTGTATATAGGAAGAATGAATAAATTTATAATTAAATGAATTTATCACGATCATCACATATCAGCTTTAAAAAATCTACTATATATACACATATAAACATAAATACAAAAATATGAGCTGTATTTATATTGTGGCAACAGTGTGAAAATGAAATCATAACATAAAATATAAAAAGTATCAAATACAAAGGCTAACATTTCTACAACTGAAAATTAGCAACACAGAAAAAAACCCAAAAGACTCATATTGCACAATTACAAACACTATTGAAATTTAAAATCTATACAAGTGAAAAGGTGTAGCATGGGTTGGGTGTTTCAATATTGTTAAGATGTCCATTATTTCAAATTTAATGTATGTACTTGGTGTAATACTAGTTAAAATCATTTTTTGGAAGTGGGATACTTGAAAAAAATCATTAAAAAATGGATACACAGATGTCAATGACCTAGAAGGGCAGTGACAATTTTGAACAAGGAAAAAACTAGAAAGCATATACTACCAGTTTTTATTAAGAACATTTGGTATCGCTGCAATAATAAACAGAACAATGGAAGATGTTACTTCAGAAGAACTTCCATATGTATAATACTTTATTATAAATGTTTCACTATAACCTAAAGGTAAGAGAAGGCAATATTTTCAATGGAAGATGTTGAATGAACTATATATTTATATGAAAAATACCAATTTTGATCTCTACCCCAAACAACATATAAAAATTATTTCCAGAGAGATCATAGAACATAAAAATAAAAACAGTAGATATGTACATGGAAGAAAACATGGGAAAATATCTTTATGACCTTGAGTCAGGAATAGATTTCTTAAACTGGAGTGCCAATAAGTTTTTGAAAAGAAAAATTATTCTTCAAAATAAAGAACTTCTGGAGAAAGGGCATCATTTAGAGAGTGAAAAACCATGCTGTAGCTGTGGAGATGCTATTTGTATACAAGCATGTAAAGATACTTTGAATCCAGAATGAGGTATCCAACAAACAGAAAGCCAGAGCTCCCATAAAAAACATGGCCCAAATTCTTGGACAGGTATTTGTCAAGAAAGAATATTCAAAAAGCCCACAAGCACTTAAAAGGGGCTGAACATCATTAGTTACTTAAGAAATGCAAATCAGACCCATAATGAGACACCAAGAGACACTAGAATTAGGCTGTTGTATCACCCAAGTGGTACTATGTTAAAGGCTTGGTCCCCAAAATGGTGCTATTGGGCAGTGGTGGAACCTTTGGGAGGACCTTAGGTCATTAGGAGCATGTCCATAGAAGGGACCATGGACTCTTTTTCTCTTCTTCCCTGCCCTGCTTCATGATGTAAGTTTGTTCCACCAAGGACTCTCACCATAATGTGTGCCTTTCCATGTGCCCAAAGTAACAAGGTCAATTGATCACCGACTGGAACCTCCAATCTTTGAGCCAATATAAATCTTTTCTCTATGTAAGTTCATTATTTCAGGTATTTTTTTGAACAGCAACAGGAACCTGAGTAGCACACTGACTTTGTCACCTTAACAACTTTGCTAAAACTGCTCAAGTCAAGGTGGCCTATGTCAACCCTATCCCTAACTCAATGAATACTTCGATATTACGTTATTAGAACTTGTGTACTATGTTCCCTGCTTTGAAATGCTTTGCTGCTAAGGCAGGGTTGGGAAGCAAGGTTGGTATTTCAGGGTCTGACATTCAAACTTTTCAGTTTAAAAGCTGTATATTAACTGTATCCAAAGAAGATAATTCTCACTATAAATTCAACCAGAAATGGTCACTTTTAACCACAAAGTGAAATTAATCTTTCATAATGGGCAACAGTTCATATCATATCATCCAATAACCCCATTGTACTAAATACTTCTGGCACTATCAGAGGGGTATTTGGTCTTTCTTTACCCTCCAATGAAGGATAGCCACCATGTCTTGATCTATTTGGCTTTCAGGTTCAATTTGTGAGAGCCTTCCAACATCAGGGCCACAGCCTCTGGGTTCTCATTTTGACTCCAGACCTCTCCAAGCATTCCCCCACCTTCCAGACCTTATAGACTTAGGGACTCTTGTCATTTCTTCTCTACTTCATCATGTAATGTTCTGCGGCTGTACAAAGACACATCTGATAGCATGCCTCCTTTTGTCATCCTGACCTTTCCTTTCCTGCCACGTTGAAATTGACAAATACTTTTGACGTTTGTGGTCTTCTAGTCTCAAAACTTGGACACAAATTCCAGATATTAGAGACATACATTTCAACTGGAATTTCCATTCCCACCTGCAGATGAAGTGTGGGTTGGGAGGAATGAGGCGCTGAGTTATTATTTTGGAATCTTTTCAATATCAAAACCAATTCTCTTGCTCTGAGATCCATGCACACCTTTTCTGGATCAATGTAAACCCGGTACCTAAAGTCAATCCTGGAAAATAGTAGGTGTTCAATAAATTAGCTTCACAAGAAAAAATTTTTCCTTTTTACATAAATATGACATGCACACTGCAAAGAAAAGCACAGAAAAGCCCAACAGTATCTGATCATCTACCAACTCTGAAATAACTATTACTAACTTTTGGAGATCATTTTTTCATTTATCTCTCTCAAATAGTCACATAAATACATAATATTAGTTTTATATACATGCTACATTTACAGTTTTCCATTTTGAAAATCTTTTTCATCTAACCCCATGTTTTCTTTTCTTGTTCCTCTCAAGGTAACCAATATCAACAGCCTGGTGTAGATTCTTCCATATTTGTTTTCATGCACATTTAATCACAGAAACACACACATACATAATAAACATAACACTTTAACAAAAATGAAATCTTGTATATATATATATGTTATAAAGTAATAATTTACCAAAATACTTTAACAAAATCTTCAAGTCAATTAGTATGATATAACTCATTTTTAAAATTCTCAGGCTGTTCTAAAATACTGTTATAACAATTTATCTAAGCATTTCCCTATTAATTGACACTAACTTTGCTTGTATTCCCCACATATAAAAACAATAATTCAACAAAAATGTTTATTTATCTGTTTTTTTTGCATTGACAATATTTTTATTTTATGACATTTTTATTTTATGAGAATGCTGGGTCAAACAACATTTAAGATAATGTATATTGCTGGATTGCTTGTGGAAAAATGAGTTACATAATCCTTAAGTTTAGAGTACATGGTTTAATTTCTTTCAACTCACATGAAAGTCTGATCTCATTAGTAGTCTAAATTTACATCTTCCTGAGTAATATTTAGGTCCAAAATTTTTGATAGGTTAATGGCCATTTAGAGTATCTCTTTTGTGAAGAGCCAGTCAGCCCAGATGAATTAAAGACCTAAAATTAAAAAATAATCAAAACTACATATATATTAATCCTAGAGATCAAGGATATATCTTTTAATTAAAAAAGTAAATCAACGACCTAAAAAGATGTACTTTAGTGTAAAAATTTGAATGTTGTGACTAATACATAAAAAAGTATAGACATGGTAGAGTAAGGAAAAAATTTGTTATATATATATATGATAAAGGCTTGATGTAAAACATAAAAGTACCTTTAGATTTGTAAGAAAAGGTGGACAAATAAAACATTGCCAAATATATGCATAGGCAATTAACTTTAGATAATGTTGAATGAGCAAAGCATGAAATCCAGATGAAAGTTTTCATTTGTGCATTGTATTTCTCTAGTGTGAATTATCCTGTATTTTCTAAACATAACTGCTTTTCCACATTCATTATATTTATAGTGTCTTTTAAATGTGTATTTTTCAGTGAATTTCTACTGAAGATCTTCCTATATTAATAAAACCTAGTTTCTAGCAGTCTTCTTATGGAGTTGACACCTGGACGAATGACTTATTGTTCTCTATACTAACTGAGCATCTCTCTGATGTATTCTTTGATGTACAGTAAGGCTTGAGCTACTCCTGAAGGCTTTCCCACATTCATTACATTTATAGGGTTTTTCTCCAGTATGCATCCTCAGATGTACAGTGAAGTCTGAGTTAGTCCTGAAGGCTTTTCCACATTCTTCACATTTATATGGCCTCTCCCCAGTATGGATTCTCTGATGTAGAGTTAGCTGTGATAGAGTAATACAACCTTTCCCACATTCCTTACAGGTATAGGGCTTTTCTCCAGTATGTGTTCTCCAATGCACGGTGAGGTATGAACCCCTCCTGAAGGCTTTTCCACAGACATCACACTTATAGGGCTTTTCTCCACTATGGATTTTCTGATGTTCTGTGACATGCACCATCTGGCTAAATGCTTTCCCACAGTCATTACATTTGAATGGTTTCTCTCCAGTATGTGTTCGCTGGTGGGTATTGAAGCCTGAGTTACTTGTAAAAACCTTCCCACACTCGTTACACTTGTAAGGTTTCTCTCCCGTGTGCCTTCTTTGATGAACAGTGAGCTGTGATGTATTAGTGAAAGCTTTCTCACATTCATTACATTTATATGGTTTTTCTCCAGTATGGGTCCGTTGATGAACAATAAGGTATGACTTAGTCCTGAAGGACTTCCCACAATCATAACATGTATAGGGTTTCACTCCAGTATGAATTTTCTGATGCTCCTTGAGATTTACCATTTTAGTGAATGCTCTCTCACAATCAGTGCACTTATATGGTTTCTCCCCAGTATGGATCCTCTGATGCACAGTTAAGTGGGATTTTATTCTGAAGGATTCCCCACATTCATTACATAGATAAGGTTTCTCTTCAGTATGAATACGCTGATGTATGATTAAAGATGAAGAACGCATGAAGGCTTTTCCGCATTCATTACATTTATAGGGTTTCTCTCCTGTATGCATTCTGTGGTGTACAGTAAGGCATGAATAATTAATAAATGCTTTTCCACATTCATTACATTTATAAGGTTTCTCTCCTGTATGAATTCTCTGATGTTCTGTGAAATTTGCTATGCGGTTGAATGCTTTCCCACATTCATTACATACATAGGGTTTTTCTCCTGTATGAGTTCTGACATGTACAATAAGGCTTGAATTACTTCTATAGGCTTTCCCACATTCATTACATCTAAAGGGTTTCTCTCCAGTATGAATTCTCTGATGAACATTAAAAATTGTGGTATTCTTGAAAGATTTCCCACACTCGTGGCATTTGTATGGTTTCTCTTCAGTATGGGTCTTCTGATGTACACTAAGATATGACTTATTTCTAAAGGATTTTCCACAATCATTACATTTGTAAGGTTTCTCACCATTGTGAGTCTCCTGATGTCTTGAAAGTTTTGATTTATCACTAAAAGCTTTTCCACATTTACTACATTTATAGGGTTTCTCTCCAGTTTGAATTCTCTGGTGTTGATTAAGACGGGCACATTGACTAAAAGATTTTCCACAGACATTGCACTGATAAGGTTTTTCCTTAGTATGAATTCTCTGATGTACCATAAGTGATGAAGAAGCAATGAAGGCTTTTCCACATTCATTACATTTATAGGGTTTTTCTCCTGTGTGAATTTTCTTATGCTGACTAAGATATGAAGGCTGGCTGAATGTTTTCCCACATTCATTACATTCATATGGTTTTTCTTTAGTGTGAGTTCTCTGATGTTGAATGAATAATGACCTATAACGAAAGGCCTTTTGACATGTACTACATTTATATGGTTTTTCTTCATTATTAGATTTTTTTCCCAAAGTAAGTTCTGAGATCTGTCTTAGGGTTTTGCTACCTTCTGTATTTTTATAAATTATCTTCCCCAAATGGTCATCTGCAATCAAATCTAAGTTCTCTGTGAAACTTTCCTCATGTATTTGGCATTTTCCATGGGACTCTTCTGTAATAATTCCTGGTTCTGTAGGAGGAGATCCAAATCTGAAGCCTTTTTGACCAGTGGGAGTTTTCCTGTGTGTTACCAGTCTTTGATTCAAATGACTCTCCTGACTGTTTTGCCATCTAAAAATCCTGTCACTCCACTTCCATAATCCTCCCATTGTGGAGTCCCATAGACCATTTTCTCTGAGTTTCTCTACTATAATCTCCTGTGATAAACCTTCAAAAATATCCTCTGTTAGCACAGCATTCTTGGTTGCAGGTTTGGTCTCCAAGTCTAGAAGGAAAAAAGAGAAAAATCAAGTAACTCTTAAAATGGAGAAAGCTCAGAAAACATGATAATACAAATGAAAAATGAATATTTAGTTTTAACTGCTTGCCAGCCGACCTTGTTTTCTAGGTAGGATTAAGGGACAGTGGTTGAGCAAAGAACAAAAGTGGCAAATTTAATGAGATTTTTTTCTATTAAAAAATCATTGAAAACCCACTTTGCATTCTAAGCCTCTCCAATATTTTTTTCTTCTCCTTAGCTTTAGCACCAACCTCTACAGAATGCTTTCTTTATAAGTTGGCACTAGTCCTTTCTTCTCATTTATTTCACAAATCATATATATATCTGTCTCACACTTTCTTTCTATTTGTTCTTACTCTTGCTTTTGGTGTCAAGGCTCTCTCAAAATTCCCTGGCATAGTAGTTCCCTGGCAAAGTAGTTTATTAAGGTCTGTTTATACATTCTTTGTTTTTTTGGCAGTACTGAGGATTAAACCCAGGACTTTTGCACTGAGCTATATCCCTAGCACTTTATTCTTTTATTTTGAGACAGTGTCTCACTAAGTTGCTCAGATTGGGCTGGAATTTGCAATTCTTCTGCCTCAGCTTCTTAGAGTGCTGTGACTATAGCCATGAACCACCACTCCCAACTTTTATATACCTTTTAATAAAACTTTATGGAGAAAGACAATGATTTTCAAAAAGTGAATTGAACAAATTAGTCAAAAACTTATAGGAAGTTACTGACCTTTCAAATAGTGGTAATTCTCCTAAGGTATGGCAATGTTTTTATGGGTCCTAAGAGCATTTCTGAAGATTTTCCAATAATTCATTAAAAAATTCTAGTGTAAGGTATGGTCTTATGACTTGTTTGTACAGGCAATTTACTATTTTTTAAAATTACATCACTTTTGAAACTTTTAATTAATTTTCAGGCAATTATGCCTGAATATTTAAAAACAAGTTGGATCAAAACCTTTTTTAGTAGAATGATTTTTATGACTCTATAACCTGCATTTAAGAGCTAGGCATGGTAATTCCAGCATGCAGGAGGCTGAGGCAGGAGGATCACCAAGAGTTCAAGGCCAGCCTGGGCTACATAAAGAAAACCAGTCTCAACAAACAAATATATATATATGAAAACTTCCATTTAAGCAATAAAATTTGTCTGTTATTACTTTTATAAAATCTAAATGAACATTGTTATGATGTTATTTTTAATCTTTAGTTTCTTGTATATTTCAATTATTTTAACTACTTTGAGGATACTTTTTGTTGTCCTCAGACATTATATTGCCAATATCTGTCAGAAAATTTTGCTGCCAGAATAAAAACTAAAGAAAACACATCTGTAACACCAATTTGGGATGCAAGAACTAATTAATTTAAAATGTCAAAAGGAAATGCATTTGGAAAGCAGATACATTTGGAATAAAATGTTATAAAATTCTAAAAGCTTAGGGTGCAGAAATATCACTATTATGTTAATTAGCAATTAGAAATTTTCTTTAATAAATGTATTTGCAGAGGCTTCATTAATACATGTAAGCTAATTTCTCATCTTCCTTGAAAGTGAAATATCACTCCCAAAGACAAAGAACAAAACACAGAAAAATAATCTTTCATATGTGAGAGAATTGCACTTTTGTGATATTAGAATGGGTAATTTGGACTAACATTATTACTGAGAATAATTAGAGAAGGGTTGGACAAAATATAGAAACAAAGCCTGTTTGAAAGCATCTGCAAGCTAAGAAGGCCTAAAAAATTACAAGAAGAATGAAATCCAAAAAGAGATCCTGGTATTTGATGCTCTTTCCCATACAGATATATCTTAATTGTCTAAGAAGTGGCTAAGAGACTAAATAGGTAAGCCAAACTTTCAATGGACTCAAGGGCCAGACAGTGAATTTCTGTCCACCAAAGTGGAAAACACTGGAACTTCTAGAGTTTGGCTGGAACTTCTAAATATAGAATGATTAAGAAACACACCAACTTCTTTAAGGAATAAGATCTTGCACATTTAAATTTCCAATTTAATTAAGATGACTGAGAAATATTAGAGACCCTAGTCTAGCAGCCCACCAAAAGAAAACATTAATCCTCTATGGAGAAAACTACATAATCCCAAACCTTAAATTGTTTCGATAGGTTTCATAGTCAAGAGTTGACAAGAAAAAATAACAGACATAACAAGGAGAAAAATGAGAAAAGAAAAAAAATCAGGAATATAGAACAAAAAGATCTAAAATGAATTCAGATAACTGATATCTCAGACATAACTTTAAAATAACCATGATAAGTATATTTAAGACAATAAGATAAGAATTAACAATTTCATCAAAAAATTAGGAGTATAAAATAAGAACCAAATGGAAACTCTAGAATTGAAAACTAAATTAAGAATTCATATATGGGCTAAGAGTGTTCTGGAAATCTCAGAAAGAAATACACGGACACTCAGAATTCGGGTAAAATAATAAAATTTCTACTTGCAAGCGGGCGGGACTGCCAGAAACCAGTCTGGTTAGTATCCATGCAACCCTTTGTTCAGCGTTTCCCTTTTTATATCCTTTTTAGCCATTATCTCATCCCTAGTGGTCTTTGATGTGTAAATACAATTCCAGTTCCTATTTACAAGTCACAGACACAAGATAGGCACATATACATTGTAAATTCACCCTGGCGTTGCAACTGTTAGATTAATGAAGTTACTGGTTAAAGAGTCAGATTATCTTCACCTTAAACATGGAGAGTTATGAGAAAAGCAAATCTTAAAAGAACACATTACTTATTTTGCTTCTACAACTACCTTAATATTCAATCTATTAAGTTATCTAAAACTTTTCCCTATCAAGAGCACAGTAGATAATAGCATATAAGAAAGTTAACAGAATGCAGGTCAGTGGAAAATATTCATATCAAAGCAAAGAAAGTTGAAAACACATTGAAAAAGCCTAATGGGCACACAAAATAAAATGAAAATGTGTACAACAGATGTAATCAGAGTTCTGGGAAGCTAGGAAGAGAAGTAAGTGAAAATGACAAGTTAAAGAAATAATGCCTGAAAAACTTCCAAAATGGATTAAAAAATCAAGTTGCAAATTTTAGAAGCAAAACTGCAAGTATGAGAAATTAAAAGAACACATTAAAGCACATAGTAAAATTGCAGAACCAAATTAAAAGTAGTCACAGAGAAAAGAAGATTTTCTTGAAGGAGTAACGATTAGATTAGAGGTTGTAAACTACAGCCCAATCTAATCCATCATCTATTTTTGAATAGCCAGTAAGGTAAGAATAATTTTTTACATTTTTACATGATTAAAATATATCAAAAAATATATTGCTACCTGTCAAAATTACAGAGTTCAATTTAATTGTCCGTAGATAAAATTTTAGTGGTATACAACTACATGCAGTGGTTAATGCATTATCTATGGATGCTTTTGTGCTACAATAGCAGAGCAGAATAGTTGCAACAAATACTTTATAACCCCACTCTATAATTTAGATCTTGAATGTCCTCCAAAGACCCATCTGTTGAAGCCTTAGTTTCTAGCCTAACATTTCAAGCTGGGAGGTGGTGGAAATTTAGGAGCTGGGGCCTACAGGAAGGAAGTTAGATCACTGAATGCATGTGATGTCTTACAAAATTTGGCATATAAAGTATTAAAATACATAAACTTCAAAAAATATATTGACATTAAATGGGATAATCTGGCTCTATGTTCCCTGTATATTTTGTAAAAAGGGAAAAACCTATACTAGAGTGTCAAATAAAAGAAGGATGCTTTAGTTTCAGGGTTAATCACTACATAGATAATTAAAAATTATATAATTAAAACTGATTAGAAGGGGTAAAAAGAATAAAATATGAGGGCCAGGGATTTAGCTCAATGGTGCTGCGCCTGCTTGGCAAGTATAAGGTCCTGAGTTTAGTTCCTGGTACCAAAAAAAAAAAAAGCCAAGGATAAAATATGATAAATCTAAAAAAAGGCATAAATGGGAAGAAAACACACACAGAACAAGCAAAGCATTTTCACAGTTGGATGGCAGAGTTAAACATTATGAAAAGTATTATGTACAAATGGACAAAATACTCCAAAAGACATGAATTGTCAGGCTGGTTAAAAACAATGAACAATATGTCTCTTAAAAAAGATACATAAAATATAAGGATATATAAAAAGTAAAAAATAAGCAGATTAAAGGTATACCATATCAATAATAATCAGAAGACGTTTAATATTAATATCAGGCATAAAAGACATAAAGGCAAAAACAATTAATAATGACAAAAGATCCAATTTACCAAAAAGATATATAGTTCTAACTTTGTATTTAACTAATCATACAGATTCAAAATATATAAAGCAAAAATCAGATAAACTAAAACATTTTAAGTCTCATTGAGACTTAAAAAGTCTCAATAGCTGATAGAATAAGCTGTAAGTACATAGATCTTGGCAACATTCTTAACAAACTTGATGTCTTGAAATATCTAGACCACTGTATCCAAGATCTATAAGTGTTTTTTCTAAGTGCACAGAATGTTTGTAAAAATTGACCATGTGGCAAATAAATCAAGTTTAAGAAATTTTCATACTAAAATCATATAGAGCATATCCTTTGACCATATGAGAACTAAAGTCAAGATACTAGAAAATTGCCACATAGCACAAAATTTTAAAAATAACTTGAAAATAACCAGACATCAAATTGTCAATGACATCAAAATACTCTGAAGGGCCGGGGATTTAGCTTAGTGGTTTTGCCGCCTGCTGCACAAACACAAGGACCTGAGTTTGATCCCCGATACCAAAAAAAAAAAAGAAAAACAAAAAATACTTTGAACTCAGAAATTATGAAGATGCTGTATAAAAAAAAGTGTCATATAGTTCTAATAGCCCTACATTATTAGAAAAAGAGTGACTTAAAATCAATAAATTATTACTATACAATTTAAATTATTTAGCAAAAATCTGCAAATTAAATCCTAAGAATGGAAAAATAATGAAATAAAATAGAAAGTAATGAAACAAACTGAAGGCCCAAGAAGGATAAACAGAATGGTTCTTTAAATGCCAGATAAGATTGATAAACCCTTGAAAGACCAATTAAGATTAAAGAAAGAGGACACAAGAAGTTCACTACTGAGAATGCAAAGACAGATTTCACTTCTATATAAAAGATCAATATAAATTTTTTTTGTTCTTTTTGAGATAGGGTCTCACTATTCTATACAGATATTTAAAAGATAAACAGAGGATAGACAGCATGCTAATAAATCTAAATTTTAGATTAACTGGACTAATTCCTAAACAAAATTTGGTATGCTGAAATAAAAACAAGTACTAAAAATAGTTCTACAAGTACTATGAGCCATAATTAAATACTTTCTACAATAAAAGCTTCAGGCCAAGATTAATTCAATGTACCTTGTGAATCCTATATGCCATAAAACACAGAATCTCCCTTTCACAACTCTTCTCTTTCTCACTATAACTTGATAACCTTGTCTCACATTTTAGAGAAATGGAAGTTATCATGACAGAATTCCCTGACCTTCCCACAAACTGCCTGCCCTACATCTGTATCCGCTTTTTCCATCTTGGCAAGCGTTAGAACACAGGAGCTGACTTCTCTGTTTATCAAAGCTAAATGCCTTCCTTTTCAGTCTAGATTTTGTCACCTTAAACCTTCTCAAACACCTTACTCCTTCAGTGGCATCATATTTGTCTTGCCACACCAACTTCTCCCTCTCCATTGAAGTGTTCCTTTTAGCACTGAAACATGTCTTAGAACTTTGTCTCAAAAACAAAACAAGAAAAAAACCACACACACCAAAAAAAACAAGAGTGCTTTTCTTTACTCCATATTTTCCAGTAGGCACTGCCCCATTTTTCTCTCCCTCTTCAAAAGGGAGAAAAAAAATCTCTACAGGACCCATCTAAAATTATCTCCATGTTTACCTTTCACGTGCTCATTTTTTTGTTTGTTTCTTTTTGGTACTGGGGATTAAGCCCAGGGCCTCATGTATACTAGGCAAATACTCTACCACTGAGCTACACCCTCAGCTCTTTTCAAAATTTTTTATTTTGATACAGGGTCTTACTAAGTTGTTGTCCACCCTGGTCTCAAACTTGTGATCTTCCTGCTTCAACTTTCTGAGAAGTTGGAATTGTACATGTAGGCGCCAGAAATGGCCATTGCTTTAAGTATAAATACTATTTGATATTTAAAAAGACTATATCCAATGAATATGTGAAGTATGGATGGCATTATAATAAAATGAACTCTCCAATGAACTAAGATCCATTTATTTCTTTCCATCTCCACCACAATCATCCCTAATCAAAATTAGTATCATCTCCTGCCTAGGCTGTTACAACCTCCTCTTAACTTATTGCCTGTTTTAAGCCCTTAAATTCCATCTTCATAAACAGGGTTACTTTCTAAAAATTCTTTTTTTTTTTTTTTTTGTACCAGGGATCAAACTTGGGTCCTTGCGCTTGTGAGGCAAGTGGTGGAACCACTGAGCTAAATTACCCACAACTTTCTAAAAATTCTTAACTAAAACCTTTCCATGTTTTTGTACTCAGCTCATGTGGACTCCAAACTCCTTACCATCATCTACTAAACCCTGCATGTTTCTGTCCACCCCTCTAATCTCATTCAATACAGGTCTCTCTACACTTATGCTTCAGTCTCACATGCTTCTTTTTGATTTCTAGAACATATTACAATCTTTGCCCTATCAAGTCCTTGAGGCTTTGCTGTTCCCCTTGCCTGGAATTCTCTTCTCTTCCCCTGGCTGGCTTCTCTGACATCTCAGGTCAACTTTAATGTCATCTCCTCCAAGGCTTCCCCCAACCACCTCATATGGAGAAGGTATCTTCATCAGCTTCACCATTACTCTTTCATATCTTCCCATTTATCTCATAGCTAAAAGGCATTACAATCATTGTTTAGTTTTTATTTACTTATTAATGATCTGTTTGTTGAAATTAAACCTTCATGAGTACAGGCACCTGTTACATCTTACTCACTGCTGTTGCCCTAGTACCTAACCCAGTTCACAGCATATAGTTACATAATAAATACTGATTAGGTAAATGAACATTGCATTTTGATTTTCAATTGGTTTCCTTTCTGTATCCTCAATTAGTTAAGTACCTGAATGTGAGGAAGAGGGTCCTCCATAGTCCTGCAGCAGTCTTGTAGGTGAAGAATGTCAAATCAAAAGTAAACAGATTTCACTCAAAATTAATTAGTGGTGAAGCTTAAGAAATTATTTTCAGAGAAATAAATGTCAAATAATGGTGAAACAAATGAGAAAAATATAAAGTTAAATGGAAAGAACTACAAGGGTATGTTATGAGTGCTTGACTAAGGAAGAAATGAAGAACTTCTGTAAAAATTATGTGCCCCAATTTTGCTTCTACCTTGCCAATCCTATCCTAGTTGTGTCATTTTATTGCCAGACTATTTTGGTTTGGGCCTATGTTTCAAAGTTTAATGGACAGATGAAGAGTAAGCATATCTGCCCTTGTTCCCCACCTTAGGGAGAAAGTATTTTATCTTCTCCATTCATATAAGGCGTTTTTGCTGGAAGTATGGAGTATATGTCTTTGATCTGTTGAGAAGGTTCTGTTCTACTTCTAGTCTCCTGATAGCTTTTACCATGAACAGCTGTAGAATTTAGTCCAATACTTTTTCTCCAACTAGTGACAGGATCATATGGCTTTTTCCTTTCCTCTGTTAAAATGATGACTTTTGGGGGTGGATCTTCCAATGCTGAACCAACACTGCCATCCCTACAATAAAACCACTTTCTACATCCTGCCAGATCTGACTTCTAATAGTTTGTTTTGTTAAATAAATTTCTATCTATGTTCATACTTTTTTCTTCTATTATCTTTATCCAGTTTTAGGATTAGCACAATGTTGATTTTCTATAATGAGGGGAGAAGTGTTCCTTTCTTTTTTCTGATTTAAATGTTTGATATAATTTATCAGTTAAAATGTATATGAGCCTGTTGTTGTCACATAGGTAGGTTTTCAAGATAGGAATATACTTTCTTTAATAGGTGTATTCAAATTTTATGTTTCCTCCAGAGTTAGTTTCATTAATCTGTCTTCCAAGGTACTTCTTAAAAGTTGTCAAATTTATTTCAAAACAGATTTTTGAAATATGCTTTCTATATCCTTTTAAATTCTGTAAAATCTGTGGTAATGTCTCCTAGATCTTGATATTATAATTTAAAAAATGTATAATTGATCTTGTGTAATAGGATGTAAAGGTCTAAAGAATCAGGGGAATGGGAGGGGTAGGGGAAAGGAAAGAAGGGAAAAGAAAAAATATGAGAAAAGAAAAAAATGGAAACAGAATCTTTGCATATAGGGAACGGTGGAGGAGGTGAAAGGAGGGCAGGGGAAGGGGAAAAAAATAAGAACCAAGATACATCATGTAAAGGTACAAGATCCCAATGATGTATGTAAATGTATTTTATACCTAAAATGTACCAATAAACTTAATGGGGGAAGAAAAAAATTGTATGCCCAAGAAAGTCAAGTCAGATAGGACACAGAGCCAAAGGTGGAGGAAAAAGATTGGGGAAAGGAGACACAGTGACAGGGATGGGCAGAGAGAGAGGAATGGGGAGGGGGATGTGTTCTTTGGGGCAGCTTTGGACAAATACTATCAAAAATACTTCATATATTCTGTTGAGTGTCTCACCATGACTTATTATTTGAAAGAAGCACCATTTTTATGGTTTTGGTTAACTTACCTGGGTAGGGGGTTCTTGAAATTTTTCTCACCACTGTCCATGGTCCTTTTCCATTCTCCAAATGAGATATCATATCTGGTTTGGAAACTGCAAGCCCTGTTCAGAGAAAAATAAATAGAACTTAATTGAAGTTACAAGCAAAAACTATTACCAAATTCAATTCCAGCTCTTAATCTGCATAGGGCAGTCATTACAGGAAGTTTTAGAGCTACACTGTCCAATATGATTGCCAACAGGCACATGTGACTATTTAAAGCTGAAGTGAAAATAATTAAAATTAAGTAAAATTTAAAATTCACTTCTTCAGATGGACTAGTAAATTTCAAGTGCTCAAAAGCTGTAAGTGGCTAGCACTTGTTATACTGGAAAACACAGGTATATACTGGACATCCCTATTATAACAGAATGTTCTGTTATCCAGTGATGTCCTAGAGCATTACAAAGCATCTCAAGGGAGCTCAGCAGAATGATCCTAATTTGGGGAGCTCATGAAAATAATCTAAGTTCAGAAAAAAAATGAACACGTTTCTTTCTTTCTTTTTTCTAGATGCAGTGATAACAATTTCCATTTATGGAAGGAATCAGAAGAAACTTTGGTCCTAAATCTGTGGCACTTTCAACAATCTCTGATTCCAAAAAAACATGGTTCCTACTACATAATGAGCACAGCATTTAGTTAAGAGGAAGTGTACAACTTTCAACAATGTGCTCTAATTTTGAGAAACTGTGAATGCCTCAATTCTAAACCAAGTTCATTAAAGTACTTCTGCGGCTCTAGTCTATATCCTTGCAAATGTAGTCAAATGGGCAAATGGGCAAATCCATCAACAGAAAAAATAAATTATCCTCACCTAGGGAGGCCAGATTCCTGTAATTCTCCAGCATCACATCCTTGTGCAGTTTCCTCTGTGTAGGGTCCATTAACCTCCATTCCTCCAACGTGAAGTCTATAGCCACATCCTTAAATGTCACTGATTCCTAAAATAAATATAGTGCAATCACTGAGACTGTGTACAATTAGACTTGTTAGGTAGACAGGAAACACAAAACTAGGGAAGAACTGCAGAAAACAGAATCACTAAATGATTATAAAGGTCAACTTGGCTGGGCGTTGTGGGGCACACCTGTAATCTCAACACCAGCACTTGGGAGGCTGAGGCAGGGTGATCGCAGTAAGTTCAAGGCCAGCCTAGACTATCTAGTGAGTTCAAGGTCAGTCTAGAATACATAGTGAGATCCTGTCTCAAAAAACAAAAAACAAACAAAAAAAGGTCAACCTCTTCAATCCTTACAGGATATATGATAAGAACTTAAAACCATTATCAGAGTTTCACCTAATAGAAGGGTTTTTTTTTCAGACTAATTCAAATCTACTTTACTATAAATTCTAAGTATTGGTCCTACTATATTACTTGGAGTTAAACAGCATGGCTGTCTCTTTCCCTAAGAATCATTAAAATATTTTATAACTGTTAGTAGTTTCCATCTAAATCATCTTTTCTCCCTTAAAAGCTGGCTTATCTGGTATCAGTCTTCCTTCAGTTCCAGTCAATAGTCAATACAGTATGGCTTAGGGCTGGGGACAGGTATTTAGCTCAGTGGTGCCGCTGTCTGCCTCAAAAATGCAAGGTCCCGAGTTTGATCCCCGGTACCAAAAAAAAGAAAGATACATTTTATCATTTAGACATTATAAGAGAAAGAAAAGAAAGCACAGGACTTCGGGGAGGTTCTTTAGTCTGATATAATAAACTGATATATATATATCTATATCATAGATATAGATATATATATATCCTATTGGTTATAGGAAGAAACAAGAAGTTGAAGTAGGAGGTAGACAGTTCTGAATATTTGTTTTGTATATTTGACTTTGGAACCATGTAAATAGATAATTTTAAAACAGAAAAGTTTTTAAAACAAGCCCTAAAAGTTAAAAGTAAAACATACGCGGTTCGTTGTACAGCCATTCATCAGAAACTATTTTGAGTGACTTTAAAACAGTAATTTTTGGGTTGGGGATTTAGCTTAGTGGTTTTGCCAGCTGCTGCGCAAGCTCAAGGACCTGAGTTCAATCCCTGATACCAAAAAAAACCAGTAATTTTTTTATCTGTGATATGTCCTGAGAAGAAAAAAAATTACAAAACAAAAGCAAAATAAAATGTTTTCAATAAATAATCATATTGATGTTAGTGTCAGAAATGCTATTCTATAAGTGTTGCATGTATAATGTTGGATAAAGCAAGTTACTACATTGATGCTATTGAAAACTAAAAATTTGGCATGGAAGAAAGAAGATATGTGTAATATTGATGAGAGTACTTAAAAAATTTACAATTCTGAGTTTCAATTGGAGGTATCAGCACAGGTTTATTATTTTATTTAAAAAAAATTTTTTTTGTTTTTTTTGGTACCGGGGATCGAACTCGGGACCTTGCGCTTGCAAGGCAGGCGGCAGAACCACTGAGCTAAATCCCTGGCCCTATTAATTATTTTATGGTAAAGGAAAAAACTAAAGTGTCTTTCCTAGCTTCATCCACCTACAAATGTCTAGAACAATAACTAATAAGGTAAGTATTATGCAAGCCAGATTGTGGCCTCTACAAATAACTTCCCACTAAAATGAACCAGGCCTGCGAAAGTTTTGTACATTAAAAAGCAAGAAAGCTATCAAAGATTCCTCAGGTCATGTCTAAGATACATGTGACAACTTGACCAATGATGGGTCAATAAGGATAATAACGCCAATGGAGTTTTAAAATATCTAATATTACTTACATTTGCAAGTTCATAATAAGCCACTAAAAGCCCTACTAATATCCACTGGAAAATGTCTGAAAAATGGTAAATAAAGAGAGAAAAAAACCCAATGTTTTGTTCTTTTTTTCCTATGCCAATGATGGTGAACGTTTTAGAGACTGAGTGCCAAAGTGCAACTCAGAACCACTTACTTATCACAGTGTCAACACTGCAATTAAACCTGAATACTAAGGTTTTGATTTAGAAAAAAACAAACTCTATATTAACATCTTTTGTCTTAAAAGAAAAACAACACATGTGCTATTGGTTTGGCACCACTATATATGCAAACTATACATAGTTTGTATAGTGATCAAGTATAATTAAATAAATGATGAGGGGAGGTTTCTCTTTGTGGAACTACTTCAGCTTACAAAAAAAGGAGGAAGGGAGAATTAGAACATCACCATGTTACAAAGTCTCATGAATTAAAGGATCACAAGGGGATGCTAACAGAAGAAAAAGTGTCAAACATCATGTATGTTCTGATGCTAAACGCCAGCAATATGAAATGATACTGCCAAAATATTATAAAAAATCAAAATCTGAATCTGATCAAGGATTTAACTAATAGTTTAAAGGAAATACAGGGGCAGAAAGGCATGTTAAATAATCCCATGGGGATGCAATCAATAAAATTCACATTGTGTGAAATTCTGAATCAATCTTGTACAATAGAAATACAAGGAAACCCATATATGTGATTTTAAATTTTCTTAGTAGACACATTAAAAGTAAAAAGAAATGAGTGAAAATTAGTTTTGATAATGTATTTTATTTACATATATATAATTATAACTTTAGGAATCAATACAAAAATTATTGACATACTTTATATTATTTCTTCATATTAAGTCTTTGAAATCTGGTATGCGTTTTAAATTTTTACCGTGTCTCAATTTGGACTACTCTTATTTCCAGTGGTCAATAGTCTCATGAGGTTAGTGGCTTGTATATTGGACAATGTTGCTCTGAAGTAGAAATGACCTGGTTTCTTCAATAAAGGGAACTTAAAAAAAATGTGTACATGTAAAATAAAGGACAATGGTTAGCAATGAAACTTCTTCTTTTGAAGAACTGTGCTAGGGAAAAGAAAACTATTCAAAAAATATCACTAGTAGTTATTTGATAAAACAAAACAAATACTAATAAAAACCAATAAAATAATGACTTGTTGACAGTCATCAAAATATTGGTTCTACTCCAAAATTAAACAACACTAAGTTTAGTACTCATAAAAAGGATTCAAAATTTAAGGAGGAAGGGCTGGAGATTTAGCTCAGTGGCACTGCACCTACCTCGCAAGTGTAAGGTCCTGAGTTCGATCCCTGGTACTCCCCCCCAAAAAATATTTAAGGAGGAGCCAGACAGAGTCCAGAGACTCATTCTGTCAGAAAAAAGAACTAAACCATATGAACTGTTCACCATGACAAAAGTACAGTGTTTTCCTAAGGTTCGAGATTCAAAGTCTAAAACTATGAATATTTTTATCTTTAATTTTAAGTCATATATTATAACATATATAATTATATGTTAAAAGACAAGTTTAAGAGTCATTAGCTCAGTACTACATTTCAAAAATATTATGTGTAAGAATGACTCTCAAAATGTATTTTTTCATAGAAGCAAAAAGAAAAACTGAATTTTACACAAAACATTTCTGGAATAAAATCAACTTTCAAAGTAAAATTTTCAAAACCAAGAACATAATTCTCCTTAAAAGCATAGTGAACAGATGTCAAAGACTTACTTAAAGCACCAATGAGGAATTAGCAGCTTGACAAAACTAGTTCAAAAGAAACAGATGTATAGATTAGGAAAAAAGAATGCTAGAATAAGATTGTAAAATTAGATATAAACCTCATTAATGTCCTATAGAGCAATAAATAGTAATTTTGGGGATTACCTTATCACCGAGATAAAAATAATTTACAACTTTTCAGTCTTCTACAAATTAGTGTCTCTTTGAGGGTTTGAATGTTAGTCAATAGTAAATAATAAGTCAAGGAATAGAATATAATATTCCCCTGCTGTGTTAGATGACCCTTAGGCCTATTAGACAATGGTCTATTATAACATTGAAAGGGTTTTTATTTATCTTCCTGTCTTCTTTCTAAGTTTTGGGTAATTTTTCTTAATGAATTTCTGATTTTGATTTTTTTCTAAGAAAATCAGAAGATATTATGTTCATAAAGAAGAAAATATGCTTAACAAATAAAATGAAATAAAATCTAAACCAATTTAAATTCATCTTAAAGTTCTTTCTGCTGATGTTGATATATTCTTGATATGTGTACATCTATTGGATCTTCTTAAACAAAGCAAAAGTCAGGGTATGTGATGATAGGATACTTTATCCTTAGTAATTTATGTGACCATCTGCCAGATTTAAGGTCGCCCCAACTAGGAGAAGGAAAATCAAATTGATGCTACCAGCCCAGAGGCTACTATACCTATCAAATATTCACTGTGAACTAATAAACTATGAATATTGAGAATTTGGGACAGTAAGAGGAACTTTCTCTTTATTCCTCTTACATATGATAGCAGGTTATTACCTTCACCAATTCTGCTTCTTCTGCTTGAAGGTGCAGATTTTCATGTGGATGGGTAATTTCAGGATTCTGAAGGGACACAGGATTAGATTATTCAGTGACAGGCTGCCTCTGACCTGTAGCAGAGCCATGCAATGTACATGGAGAACCTCTTTTATTGTTTTAGTAAGGGGTAAAATTAAGGTCCCGTTGTAACAATCATAATCTTCTTTCACCTTGTTTGAGATGACAAACACACACATGTTTGAGAAAGGTATGTCTTTTAACAGGGTGTTTTTAACAAAAAATAAAAGATCCTTAATACAGATTATAGATAACTACTATAATAAATTATATTTGTTGGTATTACCTTTCTTGTGAATCTTCTTCAAAACTCCTAAAACAGTTTTTAATCACTTTGATATCCATCCAAACACACATAAGAATACACATATATACATTAAAATATCTTTAGAAAAATGTAAAAAAATTCAGATCAAATATCTAATTTTCACCGTCTTTTTTTTTTGGTACCAGAGATTGAACTCGGGTCCTTGAGCTTGCAAGGCAGGTGGCAGAACCACTGAGCTAAATCCCTAGCCCTCACTCTATCTTTTTACAACTTTTCAACTTGAATCACTATGTTACCCACTATTCTCTGCCTCAGAGCTTTGCCCTTAGACTCGATTCTCACCTGGAACAACCTCACAAATACTTTATGACAATTTAAATCCCACTTGCAATTAGGTATCAGGTTAAATCAAGCTCTCCTTGTAAACTTTTCATGAAGAATATATGTTCCATTTCTTTCCTTATATAACAGTCATAAGCTAAGCAACTGCCATCCACCTCAATAAATTATGTAGCTATTTCTTTTTGATCTATTGATTTTAACTTTTATTATTGATGAACCTAATTTTCATGGATCAAACAATTTAGTTCTGTTCCCAGAAAGAATCTGAGTGAGGTAGAGAAGTCACATGATTTTAGGAAATGTATACATGCTCTCAATTCAATACAGACAGTCAAAAAAAGGGAAGACCCTAACTTACCAGAGGTCCAACAGAAAAAACCACAGCAGCCATAATCTCTGCCTCTGTGTTCTCCTCTTTGGAAAGTGTAGAGTTTTGCAAGGCCATATCTGAGGAGGAGAAATAAACCATGAAAACCAACCTTGCCTTGGGAATTTCAGACTCAGTGAGTTGGAATCCTAACATACAAGTGAGCCTGACCTCCCTAAGGGAACATACGAGTAACCCACAAAATCAGTGAGGGACAAAGATCCATACTTCTAGAGACTTGAGATAATAATGCTATTAAACACAGTCACTCCTAGAAGGTCAAACATTGTGTTAGGAGCTCTTAAAATATTTTCTCATTTAGTTTTCACATCAACCTAGTGGGAATTATATTTCCATTCTGTAAATGAGGAAACGGAGGCTTAGAAAATTCAAACTACTTACCCAAGGCCATGCAGATATATGATACCAAATCAGTTTAATTCCAAAGCCTATACCACTGATGGTGAACCTCTTAGAGACTGAGTGCCAAACTGCAACCCCAAACCCACTTATTTGTTGCAAAGTGCCAACACTGCAATTAAACCTGAATGCTGTTTTAGTTTTTAAAAAACAACTCTACATTAACTTCTTTTGTCTTAAAAGAAAAACACAATAACATGTGTGGTGCATAGGTTTTGCCACCACTGGCCTATACCTTCTCCACTCAAACAACATGGAGTGTGAAGCTAAAGAAAATAATTAAATCTTTCCTTGACACAATCTCCTACTCATCTAATAATGAAATATTTTAAGAATCTCCTTTTTCCTAGCTTTCTTGAAAGAGTCAAATTATTAAGCCAGACTTAAATAGCTTCATATAAAGAGAACACTACAACATCAAAGTTTAAATGATATTAGAAACCTTGGCATGACCCTCCCAATCTCATTTTCAAACAGTTTTCTATCTACTGTTTGTACATGAGGCAAACCCAAATAGAAAGGAAGCAGGATTAATGATAATGGAAGATAAAGTGGAATTCAAGCCACAAAGCATTAAGCAGTCTTCCTTTTATATTGAAAAAATATGCCTAATAAACATTTGATATTGTAGAGAAATAGGATGGCAGTGATTTTGTTCAGATGTGCCTGGCATTGACTCTACTTTTCTACTTCTGGTTTAGAAGAATAGACTACATTCTTTCCTGTGATCATTACAACTACAAATGTAAAAAGAAGTCTGAAAGGGGGAAAAACTTATCATCTGAAAATTAAAACAAGGCTTCCTTAGTAGCTATGGAGTCAAAGAGAAAAATTAAAAATGTAATTGCTGAAGAGTTAGAAAATGAGGCTACTATAAATTAAAATTTTCTGAATTGCTTCTGAAGCTTTAAAGCAATTCAATTTCTATCCCTAAATACTTTCAAATAAAAATGTTAAAAAGAATGAAAAAATTCAACTAAAGAAGAATTAACAAACCAACCACAGGAAAAGCAAGAGAATTAAAAGGTCATGGATAAAAATACAAACATAAAGAGCTGACAGTCAAGAGCTCCTTCTCTAAATAATGAAATATACAAGCCAGTGGCCAGTCAAAACAAAAGACATAAACCAAAAATATATGTAAGGAGCCATAACAAGCACTTTTAAACTGTCAATAAAATTTCCCAAAGAACAATTTCTGTTAAAAAATTTCCTAAAACTGACTCAAAGAGCAGAAAATTTAAGTGGTGATGCAGCAGAGATTGCCTTGAAATATCCAGGGGCCTCGCCCTGCAACAACAGAGACTTGAAATCTTACTTAAACACAAACTACTGGCTAGAGGTATTTCCTAGACTCCCTTGCAGCCAGGTGTGGCTACGTCACTAAATTATAGCAAATAGGATCTGAATAAAAGAGATGTATCCTACTTCCTGGCCACATCTTTCAAAGGGAGGTATTTGAAGCTGGATGTGGTGGTATGTGTCTATAATCCCAACTCTGAGAGGCTGAGGCAAAGATTCCAAATTTGGGCTCAGTCTGAACAATTGAGCAAGACCCTGCTTAAAAAAAAAACCCCACTGGGGATGTAGCTTAGTGCAAAGGCACTGGCTTCAATCCTCAATACTGCAAAATAAAAACATAAAAATAAAAAATAAAGGGGAGGTGCTTACCCTCCACTTCTTCCTTTCCTCTTTCAATGGCCTAGAATGCAGATACTAGTGGAGTGAACCACCTTCCACCATAGAGAGGAAAACAATGCCCCTTGGGAGGTGTGAAACAAAAAGATGGTATGAACCTGGGTCAGGAGCCTCCTACCTCCACCCATCCCATCATGGCTATCAACTCAGATCATTGTATGAGAAAGATACAACTGTCTTGTTTAAACCACTGTTATTTAGATTCTATTGAAGCTGCCAAATTAACTTCCTAAATAACAGTGAATGGTCATGAAAGAAAATTAATTAGAAGGGTAAGGAAGAGCAGGGTTTAAACCAAGAAAATATGTGAACATCTTAAAAATATAGGCTGTTTATGTCACTAGGTTTTACTAAGCACAAAAAGAGAGATTTTGGTGAGGAGAAATAATATGAGAATGTAAACTAGTACAACCACTATGGAAATCAGTATGGAGATTCTTTAAAACACTAAATTTCCATTTGACCCAGCTATTCTCCTTCTAGGTATCTTCCTAAAAGAGTTAAAGACATATTACAGTGATACATGCATACCCATGTTTATAGCAGCACAACTCATGACAGCTAAATCTTGGAAGTCCTATATGTCCACGAACAGATAAATGGATAAAGAAAATGTGGTATTTACACCCAATGGAGTACTACCATGCCATAAAGAAAGATAAACGAGTCATTTGTAGGAAAATGGATGCAACTTGAGACAATAATGTTAAGTGAAATAAATCAGATATACTAGCTTAAATACTACAAAGTTTCTGAGAAAGAGCAAAATAAAATAAGTAGGAAGATAGATCTTTCTCAAATGGGAAGGGGATCAAGAGATGGGAGAGGAAAAGGGGATGAAAAAAGAAATCAAGATGTGTTATGTGCATGTACCAACTCCACACAAAGAATGTAAACATTATGTACTACAAACACGTAGAAAAATAAATAAATAATAAAATTTAAAAAATAAATTATCTTCCAAAAAAATTGGGACTATGGTGCTGAGACCTAAAGACCTGAGTAAAGAAACACATCTGGGGGGATTTTCATATTGAAGCCCTGAGGTTACAACAAAATGGTTTTCCCTTATGCCGACGTTTCTCTGGATATTTTTTTTTTTTTTTTTTAGATCATGGTGCTGAGACCTAAAGACCTGAGTAAAGAAACACATCTGGGGGGATTTTCATATTGAAGCCCTGAGGTTACAACAAAATGGTTTTCCCTTATGCCGACGTTTCTCTGGATATTTTTTTTTTTTTTTTTAGATCATGGATCCCTTTGGAGGGTGGGGACAAAAAGAAGAAGAAAATATAATGGAAATTATTAATCTTTGCTCAGGAAACCTCCACATATAATTAGAGGGGTCTCAAATCTGAGGGTCCAAAACTCACCAGGCATGCTTACTTAAAAGGGGATAAATTCTTTGGCTCCATCCAAAATGTAAATCAGAATTCATACTCCAGATGTGAGGCACAGAAATCTCCAGTTTCAGCAGGCAACTCAGGTTCTTACCTTAAAAGATACTGTCCTAAAGCCAGTACTGGACTCCTTTTCACGTACTTGAAAATGCAAGTAATTTTTTTTTTGAGACAGGGTTTCCCTAAGTAGTTCAGACTTGCTTTGATCTCACCATATGTAGCATAGGCTAGCCTTAAATTTTTGGTGATCCTCCTGCCTCAGCCTCCTGAGTGCTGGAATTACAAGTGTATACCACCATGTCCAACCCAATTGAAATATCTTATCAAGAGGACTTCAGAGCCTAGGCAAATCTTTGGCCTTGCACAAGTTATCTGGGCTGAGCTTCTGCCTCAACCTAGGTGTTTGAAACATTCTTCACCTCACAGAAGCAAAGCTTGATAAGACTGAACATCATAATTTCAAACATTAATTGAAACTGTTCTAACAAATTTTAACACCAGTAAATGTTAACTTTGGTGGGAGAGGTGTTACAGGCTCATTTGAGAACCTAACAGTGTCCACAGAATACTGCATATTCATATATGATGTTGAATATTATTTCAGGGGGTTTGAAGACTGTCCTCCCCACAAACCCATACACTGATCTCCAAGTTAAGAAGCTCAGTTTTATAAGGCTGTGAGGAGAAAATGAGCTAAGAGATACTAAATATAACCATTTTCCCATAAGCACTAAAGTGACCTAACAGAAAGCAACGAATTTCCAATTCCAAGGAACTATGGTAATGGTTTTCTGCATCTTTAAAATGTATTAGGAATGACCTGAGCTATTATTTCTTTTTAAATCTGTAAAAATTAATAAACTCCTTAGCAATATGTCACATAGATTATGCTAGTAAAATGTGTAACAGCCAAGCTCTGCAATAAACCTTTTAAAATTTATTTTGTAATCAGAATAAACTACGCTACTTAAAATTAAATATATTCAGCTCAATAGTAATTGTGTAAATATACACAGATAAAAAAGTCTGCAGTAAACCAAAACTCTACTAGACTTCCAGTACCTGTAGCTATAATGTTACTTTCTACTCTTCTATACTTTCCAACTAGACAGTAAGAAGTATCTGTACATAAATGAGAGTCTGGTGTAGGAATAAAATCTCAGGGTGGATGTGCAAACCACAATTTCTTTCTTTTTTTTTTTCCCCAGTACCGGGGATCAAATTCAGGACCTTGCGCTTGCGAGGCATGTGGTGCCACTGAGCTAAATCCCCGGGCTCCACAATTTCTAATTTTTTTTTTTGGAACCGGGGATTGAACTCCGGTCCTTGAGCTTGCGCAGCAGGCAGCGAAACCACTGAACTAAATCCCCAGCCCTACAATTTCTAATTTTGATTTGGCTAACATAGCAATGTGACAGTGGGCCAGTCTCTTAAGTACAACGAATAGGTTATTAATAAATAAGGGTAACCAATTATGTTTCTACTTTAGCCTTTTGACATTGTGCAGAAGATATCTAGGTATTTCCTCAAAGTCATAATTTCCCTCGATATTTTTTCTGAATGTTGATTTCAACCAAGCTCTGTCTTTCCAAGCTCTGCAGAATTATCGAGACTTAAGAAGAAACTTAATTTGCTGTGGTTCCCAGGCCGTCATAGCTACTTAAAAATAATGACAGGTCCATGTTCTTGCTGAGAACTTCAGCGCCTGGGCCAGTCACCATTTCCCAACCAATGCAATGATGCCTTGTCATGTCAGCGAGTGACAAGTGATTTAAAGGTAATCATTCGAGATGCTTTAACACAAGCCAGCAAGGGAAAACTGCCTGGTTTAACGAGAGAGCACAGCGCAGGTCACCGACTGAACCCCTGGTCTACTCGTCAGTTCGGAAGCCAGAGTGGACATTCTCCAGTGACCCTGTCCTTTTTCCTTCACTGCCCATGTCTGTCCTCGGGGTCCCGCTGGAAGATCCGTCAGGTCAGATCGTGGAACCCCAGCCCAGGCCCCGCGGCCCCAGCCCCTTGCCGGAAGGCCCGCCAAGCCTTCCTCCGAGGTCCCCGCCTCGGCCTGGGGAAAGGAAACCCAGCGAAGAGGGCCGAGTAGGCAGAGCCCACACCCGGGCCGGAAGGCCAGCCCCAATCGCTTCTCTGGGTGGGCGGATCCGCTCAGGGACAGCGGCCCAGCAGGGAACGGCCACGCCCCAGACGCTGCCGGGAGCCCAGCCCCGAGGGAGGAGCGGCGAGGAACCTAGGCCTAGAGTCCCGGGAACTAGTACCTGGCGGCCACTCTGTTGGAAGACTGAGGGCGCTCGCAGAGCAGGGCGGGAACCCTTCCGGCAATGGCGCGGGCTCGGCAGGGCGGTCTCCATGCAGTCCAGTGCGCCTGTGCAGCTGGGCACCGGAACTACAGCTCCCAGAATCCTCAGCGCCGAGACCGGCCCCCTTTCTCTCTCCCCCTCTGCTTTTGTCCTCCTTTATGAAGGTTTTGGCTGTGTTTATCTTTGGGTGACCCAAAAATTCAGTCAGATTGAAGGCATTTGTTTTGAGAGGCCATGTCTATCTGTCAAGCACTAGCACTAGACACTACCCACACAAAGAAGACTGATGCAATCTTTGCCTTGAACATTTCTGTGCAAATAAAGAAAGCCACTGTACGGGATGCAAGCCTGTAATCCCAGTACTCTGGAAGGCTAAGGCAGGAGGATCATGTACTGGAGCCCAAGGCAAGTTAGCGATTTAGCTAGACCCTGTCTCTAAATAAGTACATAAGGTACATACATACATACATACATACATACATACATACATACATAAAATAAGGGGCATGTAGCTCAGTGTCAAAGTCCTGGGATCAATCACCTGTACCAAAAGAAAAAAAGTACAAGAGAAGAAAACCCACTGAGAACAGAGACCTCATGTAACATAGTTAAAACCTCAGGTGCTAGCTGAGTTGATGTGTGCCCAAGGTTTCGTTTATCTTTCACTCACGTTCTTGATTGAAAAGCCAATGCCTTCCTTATAAGTTTTGGGTCTTTGAACCAGAGTTTTCTTTTTTTGGCTCATCTAAACAATAATATATTATGTCTTTTGCCGTGGTTCTATAATATGAATAGCCAAAGATGATATTCTCCACAGCTAGTCAAATAGAATCCTCGAGGATGTCACAGCTGCTTGCTTCCTCAGTAATGGGTTCATTTCCTCTCTAATACATTCCTACACTTGTGGGATTGAAAAAGACTTCTCTCTGCTGCTTTAATTGTGTACAATGCCCACACAGGGTCACCCCCTCCAAGTGAGGATCTGCAGGGAATTATAAAGCTCAGTGACACTAAACAGTGCAGAACTGGGCTCCGGAGCTCAAACAATGAGTGGATACTTTGGGGTAAGTTTGACATAGCCCATTGACCCTTGAACCATCAGAGAGGAAAACGTAAGTGGGAAATTGATCTTCTAGAGATCACAAGTTCAGTATGTGAAAAGAAAATAGAACACACAGGCATAAGAGCAGATTACATACTTCAAAAAGAAAAAACTGGTGAATTTAGAGATGTAACAATAAAAACTGCCTAAAAATGAATCAGAGAAAAAGGATGAAAAAATAAGCAGCAGAAGTGAATTATGGGACAATATCAAGCAGTATAACAATGTGGAATAAGAATGTTATAGAGGAGAGAGGATATTTTTAAAAATAATGGCTATTTAAAAATTTGATAGAAATTATAAATCCACAGAAACAAATTCATACCAACATACATCATAATCAAATTGCTATAAACCAATAGTCAAGGGACCGTTCCCCAGTCAACATAAGTGAAACTGTTACCAGATTTTAGGGTGTGGAGTCTCCTTTTAGAGGTGATTTATAGGTCCTTTCTGTCCTGGACAAAGAATTGAACGAAACAATCATAAGCAATGGCAGAGTTTCACATTTATTAAAGATAGAAAAAACCAGAAGGATAAGGGAAAATGCGCTTTACAGAAAAGCTTTTGATCCAGTAAAAAGGGAGGAAAAAATTAAAAAAATACACCCTATGGTGTACAGTGGGCTACTCTGAGCAGGCAGGGTAGCAAGAGTTTAATGGCAACTGTCTCTTTTATATATTTCCCACACTGGTTTCACATCTAGGTCATCCTATCAAAAACCTGCTCAAGTTCCCTAAAGAAGTCCACATGCAGGGTTTTGAGAACTGTACTGTGCATGTGTTCCTGGATCTTGTCACACCTCCTTTCCCAGCTAGTTTTAGCCACACTGTCTCAAAATTTTATTGAGGTCCTAATGCCATGGAGCCTGGGCAGGGAGATGCCATTCCAGGGAATGAGGAGCTGGTGAAGGGTTTTACTTGATCACCTTCTATGGAAGAAGTTGTTGGTATGGTTGAACTTCTGGTGGCAGTTGACAGCACAGAGATGCAGGTGGGCATAACACTTGATAGATCATCTTGTCACAGTTATACTTCCTGGTGAGCTGATGTGGGGAAGGCTCAATGATGCTACCTTCCAAGCAAGGGCAGGTAGACTCTTTCTGGGTGTTGTGGTCAGAGAGAGTGTACCATCCTCCAGCTATTTGCCTGCAAATGTCAGATGCTGCTGGTCAGGTAGGATGCCCTTCTTTATCTGGGGTTTGGCTTTGACATTCTGGCTGATGTCCCAGGGCTTGGCCTCCAAGGTGATAGTCTTACCTACAAGGTCTTTAGAAAGATCTGCATCTTTGCTCCTCCTCAGTTTCCTTGTTGAGGAACAGAGACATCTGAAAAACAAAAGAAAAAAGATAATGACTTCTCATCAGAAAAAAAAATATCAGAAGATACTGCAGCAACATCTTTAAAGTACTGAAAGAAGTGAAAGGTCAGCCTAGAAATTCATACCCACCAAAATATTTTTCATAAATGAAGGTAACTTAGTAGTGGAATGAGATGGTGTAGACACATTTCTCCCTACACCTTCCATGATAATTACAGCTAAAAACTCTTGATATTATATATGAAACAAAGGTAAGTTAGAAGGTACTCTGATCAGGATCTTGAAACCTGAGGAAAAACAAGGTGAGTTTCCTAGGTTGTCATCTTATCCGACCTCCCCAACATTATCTATTTATGTGTTGCCATTGCTGAGAGTTGAATTCTCAATAAAACAAAAACCCATGAGATAAATGCAGTCAGATAATGTCTTTCAAACTTTTAGGAACTTCAACCTTCTACATACAATAAAAAGAGGAGTTGACATTTTGGTATTGTGAGATTAGTGAATATAGTATCTTCATATATTCATAGTGGCATTGTAAAGTGGTGTGACTATTCTGAAAGCAAGTTGAAATATATCATAAAAATCATTATATATTTGGCACAGTTAATTTTAATTTCTATGTCTCTTTAACAATTAAAAACACAAAAAGAGATATGTACAAAGGGAAACATGCTGATATTATTGTAATCCATTATATCTATTACTGAAAAATTAGAATAAGGTAAACAATGAACAGAATAAACTTAAATATCAACTCAAGAATAACATCTTGTTCAATGAGCCATACTTCTTAGATTTCCTGAGTTACATATATATGTACATATTACTTATTTAAAACAAATGCATAATGGATTTGGGGGCAAAATATCTGAGGAAAAGCATCTAGAACATAAATGAAAATGCTAGTAAAGACTCCAAGATAAGTGCCAATAGATAACAAAGAACCTGATAGATTCAGATTTTAAAATAGATGGCTAAGAATTGACTAGATGGCTCCTAAAATTTCCCTCCTCACTAAAGTTATAGCTGGTTAAGAGCTAGAGAATACAAAAAGACTTCTGAGGTTCTCTTGGAGTATTTGATATGTTTTCTCTGCAGCCAAAGGCTACAAAGACTGATGTATGACCTCTTCTTATGAAATCCAAAGGATAAGAGATGAGATGTCTAATTGCTAATATGAGGTGGTTTATGAGGGAAAAAGTGAAAGATGAATTATTCATCTTTCAGTTCTTTGAGGCAAAATGTAAGTCACATGAGCATGGACCAAATGAAGGCCACATGAGAGACGGAAAGAGGAGCATCTTGAATCCTGTATCTGAGGGCTGGCCTGAGAGAGTAGATGGAAACTTTAGCAGAGGAAGCTAAGAACTGAGGAAGGAATAGGCAAATAGTGTATATATACATTAGCATACATCAAGAGAATTACAGAACAACAAAATATTCCTTAAGAACCCATAGAAATACTAAGCCATCTTTAAACCTCTGCAAAGTTCAGAAAGCACAAAGCAAGCCTACAATGGTACCAGTCTATTATGGTCTTTTCTTATCTCTCCTTCCTCAGCTAGCTCAATCCTGGAGGAACTCTAGGCAGCTTATGATAAGGGAAAAGGAAGATGATGAAGTTGCTCATGTTCTCTTGAACTGTAGGATTACCTGTATGAACCAAGAATGAACTAGAGAAGTACAGATGTAACTTTAACTCTAGTTCCAACTGAATCCTTTAATTATATAGGATAATGTGTTGGATTTTTTATGTTGTGCCTGTACTTTTACATATATAATCACAGGAAGTTTTTCCAAAATATTATGGAACTTGTCTGAATTTTCATCCAAAGGAAGGAGAACTAGCTCTCACTTTTCATTTTTAAGTTGAAAGTAATTATAAAGTTACTTATTCCTTTATCTCATGAATTGTAACATATATATCCAGAATATAAACATATTTTGCAAAATAAAGCTCAGAATAAACACATTCTAATACTTCTGGGTAATAGGATTTAAGATGACGGTACTTTTACAAATATGATCATAGGAATTTTTTCTAAAATGCTATGGTACTTGCCTGAATTTTTATCTAAAAGAAGGAGACTGTGACTCTCACTTTTTTCTTTTAAAATGAAAGTGAAATATAAAGTTACTTATTCCTTTATCTCATGAGTTATCATAAAGTCCAAAATATAAATATGCATTATAAAATAAAGAATATAAATATATTATAAATAAAGCCCAGAATAAACACATTATAATACTTCTGGGAGGTAGGATTGAGGTCACTTACTTTCTTAACATTTTTTTCCTATTTTTATACTTATTACAAAAAATGTTATTGCTATAATAAAAACACAGGCTACTTTTATTTTGAAAAACAGTAAATATAGCAAAAATCATGTACAATATTTTTAGGGTTGGTGGGATTATAAGGACTGCTTTTTCTCCACATTCTTATTATTTTTGTAATAAAAAGATTTCAAATTTAAAATGTTTTACATGTCTTTTTTGTGATAGAATATAAGTGTTACAATTTTGTACCCAGGTTCTCACTGTGTTAATTAACACTATTATATTTATTTTAAAGAAATCATAGAGCCAGTGCCTTCTAGTTCTTTAAAGTTTGAGATTGGGCCAAGT